CTCTGTGCTCTTTAATTTGTGAAATGCTGAGTAAACTGTGCTTTTTATGACCAAGTTATGGGATGAGTAATTATTCTCTAGAGCAGCGGTTCTTAACCTGTGGGTTGCGACCCCTTTGGCGGTCGAACGACCCTTCCACGGGTTGTCTAATTAATCAATAAAAAATATATTTAAAAAAATCCACCTTTGCTCTTTAATTGCTGAAATGCTGAGTAAACTGTGCTTTTTATGACCAAGTTATGGGATGAGTAATTATTCTCTAGAGCAGCGGTTCTTAACCTGTGGGTTGCGACCCCTTTGGCGGTCGAACGACCCTTCCACAGGGGTTGTCTAAGACCATCCTACATATCAGATATTTACATTATGATTCATAACAGTAGCAACATTACAGTTATGAAATAGCAACGAAAATAATTTTATGGTTGGGTCACAACATGAGGAACTGTATTTAAAGGGCCAGAAGTTTGAGAACCACTGCTCTAGAGTGAATGGTTCAAAATGAAATGACTGTATGCCTAAGGTGTGATGTGGCACCAGTTGTATTTAAGCCCCAAAGGTATGTAATTATCTTACTACTCTTGTACATACACATAAATACATTTATGCTTATGGAAAGAGTTTTATATGCAGAAGAAAACCAACTTTCTGATAAGTGATGAACAGGCCATTATTTTTGAAGGGTTCAGACGTTGTTTGGTGTTACAAATATTATTTCAATGCCTGTGCATTTCTTTAGGGTATCATTTAAATTCATAAATCACTGGATTCTCGAGTAAACTGGTACCAAACTCTGGCTTTCAAATATTAAGTTTAATTTAGGGAGTTTCTCAAAGCACCATGTTTATGGTTTACTAGTTACCCGTTGCATGAAATCGTGCAAGACCCGGGACCCACCCCTCCCCCTGCACCATGGGACTGGCCTGCGTCCTGGAGTCCTGCCCCCGCGTGGCTGTCTCACCACGAGATGGCCCTGAATCCCTAGAGTGCTGCCCCGATGCCCCGCCTCTGGGCTGCGTGCAGCAGCTGCCGGGCCCTGCCCTTACGGCACACATGGGGGGGCTATGGGAACCCTGGCAGAAGTTTCGTCCGCAGGAACCCCGGGGAAGCTTTGTGGAGCGGCTGCCGGCCCTGCCCCCACTGCCCCATCCCCGCTGTGCGTGCCGCCATCTTGTGACGGTGTTATGGTGTGAGGGTCAATTTGCATATTACCGCTTCATTATATAGGATACTCTGCCCCTGTACTCAGTGATTTATATACACCATTATTGGACTCTATTTTGATCATCAGTTGTATTAATTAAAGGCAATCAATGTACTCTGGCTTCCTATTGAAATTTGTAGCCTACTTAAATTTTTTGATTTTGTATACAGGTTATTTGTCTGGTCTCATTTGACAGCGCATGAGGAATTAAAGATAGTAGTACCTCAAGCTCACTTGTCCTTTCTACTTTAAATTCAGTATTAAGATAATATTGTAAATTTGATATTTTTTATCACAATTTTACCAGTCCCATTAAGTGGGTTAAATGTGTTGCTAGTGAACACTGCAAAGTGGTAAGGTTACATCAGTTCTCCCTGTCAAAGGATCAGACACTTAAGTTTGGGGATTTGGTTTGTAGTTATGACTTAGTTCCCTGTTCACAAATTCCCAGGAGATGAGAATTCCTTAGCTTGGGGGCCAGTGGAGGCCCAGAGTGGCTGCTAGTTCTTCCTTTGGACTAGTGAAAGGTGAGTTGAGATACCGTTGAGGTACTGCTGGCTTTGGCTTTGGGACTCTATAAAATAGCAGTAACGGTAGCTTACCTGTTTTCAGTGTGATTCACATTGTGAAAATATATATATATTTAACACAATATTAGATGATAGGAGCTTGAAATTCTTAAAAAAGTAATTTATAAGTAAGTTGTGAAAACAGCAGTTAGGACACTATCACTATACTTAGTATCAAGATCTTCAATAAAAGACTAGTGAATTTGTTTGTCTTATGTTTGTACTGTCTGCTGTGGTAGCCACCAGCCAGATGTGATTAATGAACATTGGAAATGTGGCTAGCCTGAAAGTATTGGAAGTGTAACACATGCATCAGATAGTGTAGACTTAGTGCAATAAAAAGAATGTAAAATATACCATTAATAATTTGTTAAAATGATGATAATTGGGCTACTTTGGGTTAAATGAAATATATCAATTGAAGTAATTTCATCTGTTTCTTGTTACCTTTTTAAATGTGGCTACTAGGAAATTTAAAATTATGTATGTGGCTCACATTTTTCTATTAGTGCTGGTCTGTAGACCTTTTAGTCTCAAAAGTTCTTTTTGTTTATGTATACAGTTCTGCCATGATTTGATTACATACTTGATTTTAACTTTTTTTGCCAGCATGAATCTAAACACTCTTTAGTGATTCTTAAACCTTGGTTTCAAGACACATCTTGAATTGCCCTTTAAGTTATTTAGCACTATTTTTTCAATCTTAAATTTCTAAGATAGAAGAACCAACCATCTGCCAACTAATTATTCTCTAGGTTTGAGACCTCATTGTCTAAGTTATTTCCAATAACTTAAGAGCCTAAATCCATTTTATCTTTATAGGAAAGTTCACTGGATTTGGGAATGAGATTTAAAATTGATATTTTATTTCTAGGTAAGGTATACAATAAGTGCTGAAATTATATTTACTTTGAAAAAATTATTTCTTAGAAACCTATTGGCCTAGTAATAATGTAAGGAAACTGTCTTAAAGGTTTGATTCCCCCCTTCCCCTCCCCCCCGCCCATGACAACAGAAGGGTGTGGTTTCCTTTAGTTTCAAAATATTTGGGGGATTTTATTGTCCAATGAAAATGGCTGGGAGGGGGGGGGGGCAAACCAACATAGAATGGCCAATTCTTTGTTTTGTCAATAGTTTTCAAAATGGGTACCTGTTTTAATAGTCTCATCATTATCTGGGAATTTCTTAGAAATACATAGTCTTGGGTTAGAAAAACATATTCTTGGGTTCCACTCCAAATATACTCACTGGAAGACTGTGGAGATGGGGCCAGCATCTGAGTTTTAATAAGCCCCCCAAGTGATTCTAATACATGCGGACACACTGGCTAATATACTCATTAGGCCCACTAAGCGAGAAAGGGAAACCACTCTTACGTTTTTAAAATAGGAATTTAGCTCAGGGGATTGGTTACATGGGCAGTGGAGGAGGTAAGACAGCAAGATAAGATGTTGAGGCAACCTGGAAATTAATGGCAGCAGGAAGAGAATAATACAGTACTACTACTGGTAGGCTTATGGGAGCTCAGGAGCCAGGTTATTCTGAGGAAATTGGGAATCTCCTAGTAGGAGCTGGAACCAATGTTGGGAATTCTGCCTGAGGTGGACAGGACGGGGAGAAATACACTGGCTCCTCCCTTCTTCCCACCTACCAGTTCTCTAACAGTGCTTTCCATAGATTGAACCCAGGGAAAAGTCAGCTGACCTAGGAGCCTGAAAAATGATATCTGCAGAAAAATGATAATCTCAGAATAGAGGACAACCTTATTAAGAGAATAAATTTAGCTTTATACGACTAAACTTTTCTTTTATAATTTCACTGTGGGCCATAAAAATCTCTTTAGGGGCTGGAATCTGTGAGTTTGGGAAACTTACTTTATACATTTGAAAGACTGTTTCCTGTCTACTCCAGAACCTTTTTTTAAAAAAATTATTTTACTATTTTTGGATGTTGTTATTCCTTACCCGAGGATATTTTCTCCATTGACTTTTTTTAGAGAGAGTGGAAGGGAGGGAGGGGGATAGAGAAAGAGAGGCATTAATGTGAGAGAGATGATGTCCATTGGTTGCCTCCCCATACCTGCCCTGACCAGGGCCAGGATGGAATCTGCAACCCAGGTACGATGCCCTGGACTGGGAATTGACCTGGGATCCTTCACTTCTCGGGCTGATGCTCTTACTACTGTGCCAGTGCTAGCCAGAGCATTTTATTTTTTTCCATCACTATTTATGCCTCTTCCACCCCCCCGCCCCACCACACCCCTAATCACTACACTGTTGTCCATGGACCTTTTTTTTTTTAATTATCCTCTTTTTAGTTGAGGCTTTACCAAGCTGTTTTCTGTCGGTAGCGCCACCTTTTGGTAGACATGGGAAACTTATTTTTTCAATTTCTGTAATAACATCCCTGGAACAACCTGGATTTTTTTTTTCATATTTCACCTTTCATTGCTTAAAGCTTAGTTCTACCCTTTTGTATGTACTCTTTATCTTCAGTATTTCATTTTCCCAGTGTTCTCTCCCTTTGTCCTTTGCTGTTTCAATACTAGCGGGTAGGAGAAGGGTAATTACAATGTATAGGCTTAGAACAAGGAAAGAAACAAGTTGTAGATTTTCAAAATAAAGTTAGAAATAACATCTTGGATCTTTTAAGCCCTTGAAAGGGTACTTAAAGATCCCTCTGCAAAAAGTCATGTATTTCCTCAGTCTTTAATTTTTTTTCTAGATAACTAGTATTTAACTAGTATTTAATAATACTACATAATAGTATTGTTTTATACTTTTTATAATAAATGAAGCCTAAGAAGCTAACCACAGTTTTCCCCTTTGGAGGGGTCCGTGTTCTGAATTCCAGTTGACTGACTGTCTCAGAATCCAATTATGTGTTTAATGGTCCAAAATAAAATCTAATAACTTATGAATGCAAATGAGTCTGTAATATATATTCTTAAATTAGAAAGATCTATGCTTTCATTCACTAACTTTCTTGTATTCATATTCCAAAAATTAAAAAAAGTTGTAAATAAGTGAGGAACTGTATAGTTTTCATTTTACTTGTAAGTTTTTATAATAGGAAATGCTGCCAGTAGAAGTTTGAAAATGGAGAAGGAATTCTATTTCATGAGGTCTGGTGGAAGACGAGAGCTATTGTTTTATGTGCAAGGTGCTGTAGAGTAGTGATTCCAACGTATTTTTACTTCATAAAACACAGAAAATAACATTTATACATGCACCGGGACAGGAGATTTTTAACTGTAGAAAAGTTGCCAGTTGGGCTTGTGGGTAAAGCCCACTGACCTAGGGGTTGGCAGCCCGGAGAGCTGAGGTATCACTTATCTTTTACAGTTTAGTTCTCATTGGAAGCTCTGCTATATGGAGGGACATTCAAGGGGTAATGAATTTTAGTCCCCTGAGGAACTCAGCACTTAGCACCATGTTATAATAGTAGAAATACTAAGGAAGAATAGGAGAGGTTAGTTTTGTTTGAGGTGGAAGAGATCCAGTAAAGTCTGGAGAGGGTAGAGCAGAGAAGGTATTTTTCATTTCGAGGGATATTCTTGTGCAGAGGTATAGAGGGACCAAAGGGCAGAGAGAGTTTGGGGAATGCCAAGGATTTCTGATGTGGTTGGGAATGTAAGATTTGGTGGCACTAATAGAAAGTAGTATACTGGGAAGTACTGTTAAGAAAGTAGTCGGGGTTGACTTCAGGAAGGCCTTTGTGTGATTGAATGGGTTCATGACCTTGGGCACCACTGGTAGTGAGTGACATGATTAATCACCTCCCCTATGTTTAGAAAAAATCTCCTGGGGCAGGTTAGAATGAATTGGAACCTGCAAACAGATACATTCCTAGGGAGGGGAAGACATTGATGCTGCTTAGATAAGGAATGAAGGCTTGTACCTGGTGATTGGAGATTGAGAGGGCTCTCTGAAGTGGGAGGAACCCACAGATTTTACTTATTTGGATGACTCATCTGGATCCTGGGTGAAGAAAAGGATGATTGTCAGAATTAGAGTCTGTGTAGGGGACAAAGAGCTTGATTTTAGACATGTGGATTTTAAGGTGCCTGCGGAGTAACAGATGTTAACATTTATAAAATGCCTTTCAGGGGCCAGGTACTGATCTAAACACTTTACTTTTGAGAAACTTATTTTATTCTCACAATCATAAGTAGTAGATGTTATCAGTTAGTGCCCAATCAGTAAACTGAAAAGCACCAGATATTTTAAACACAGAAGGATTTAATACAGGGAATTGATTGCAGCAGCATTGGAAGGGATGGAGGAACAAAAAGAAAAAAGTGTGTGTTGGACCAAAAAGGGGAGAGAGAGAGAGAGAGAGAGTTTTGAAGGAGCAAGGAGGAGAAGGGGATGTTATTCAGATATCAGACAGCTGCTGTATAATCTGTATGCTCTACAGATTTGCTGAAGATCTTCATTGGTTCTGCTGCTTTGGAACCACCACAGATGCTGCTGGAGCCTGCGGTTGCCTGCTGCTGCTTATGGAGGTACCACCAGAAACAGGAAATAAAAAAAGACAGAATTACCCTTCTTTCACCTTGCAATCTCCTGCCATAGTTTCCCATGGGCAGTATCCAACTTAGAAGCTAGGGAGTTTGAAAAATGTAGTTAATAGTTTTCCAACCACTTGTCATTCAATGAAAGAGATCAGAACCAACAAAAATTAATAGGCACAGTGGGTTTTGTGTTTATCCTTACTTTACAGATGTTGAAACTGAGGCACAGAGAGGTCACACAGCTACAGCTTGGCGGAGTTGAGATGTGAATCTAGGTAGTCTGGTTTCAGAGTCTGTGCTCTTAGCTTCTACACTTTGATCTTGCTTTCACACATGGTTATTGTTTGAAATGTTCCTTATTGCTGAGTACTTCAAATGAGCAGCTGTTTGCATTGATTTTGCTTATTCTGTGCTTATTTTTCTTTTGATATTGCTTATTGGCTTCAGCTTTTCACCTCTACCCCTGGAATCTCTCTCTTCCTGGCCACCACTGATTTTGTAGCCAGTACAACAGGATATTTCAGTTTCTATTTCTTCTTGATCTATTTCTAGCTTTTGGTGCTGATACTCATTTATATGGAATTCCAATCTCTACCTCTGGGTGCTGACTTGCTTTGTTCTTACCTCATTGAGCCTCCTTCACTCTCTTCCTATCGCCATCTCTCTGTTTGAGTTTGGAGTTCAGTCTCTTATCTAAGAAGCTATTTAATGTTAATTTCATGTTTAAATCAGGATAAATAAAAACATCAAGTACACAGTTCATGTGGCCTTTTTTCTTTATGTTTTGTCTAGTCACA